GTCTACGCAAAGCTGCCGCTCCCATGACTCAGGTCCCATAGGCCCGATGACGCCCTCTGGAATATGCCAAAAATGTCGTTTGGATAAGGCATGTGTGGTCGAAAAAGAGTCGAGTAGATGTTATGGAGAATAAGAGAAAAACGACCTGAACCCATCTTTAATCTGTAGCTGGTGAGGGCTGTAAGGGCTGAGGGTGTTTCAAGTTCCAGAGGGTCTGACCGTCTTCAATGGCGCTGGCAATGCTATGATATGACAGTCTATCAAATCAAACTTCTAACAAGCTCGTGTACTACACATGTCTCGTACATAAGCGCCCATAAGCACCCATAAACGTCCAGTAAATTGCCGTGAGAATGTTCACGATGTCTACATATGGGCAACTTGAACATCCTGTTCGGACTCGGTGCAAGTAATCCAGTACACCCTACACCAATCATTCTCCTGGGGTCCATGCTTGAATGACAGTCTGAATACTCGCTTTCAATGGCCAGTGCACTTCAAACCCAGAAGATAAATTATCAACCGAGTAGTGCTTGGGTCGTGCTACCAAAAAAATAACCTTGAACTTTTCACCGGTCACCTGTAAATCAATGGAGCGGCACACAGCTTTTGAACAAGTGGCCTGGTATACATATCAGAGCAAATCCCTCGTATAACGTCACCATCATCAGACATCTCAATCAACTCGATGGACTGAAATAGTCGAGCATTCATTACATCAACTTATAGTCATAGAACACTGATTCGTTTACAGAGGCCCTCAGTGAACAAATAGCATAGCATCGTAGCCAGTCAGGGGTCTGCGGGAAGGTATGACTCGGACGTGTCAAATCACGGTTAATGTAGGGAATATTTTGCCCTTCACCCTCACATCGCATGAGTCACAATCGTAAGTATCTCTCCTTCCAAATCAGGGGAAGATTCTCATTATCATGATGGACACTATCACTGATGACGGTTCGTGGTCATCTCCTTAGGGCCCAAGCAACGTGTATTTCACTTCGGTTACTCCCCTACCGTTAATTGCGCATGGAAATATCTGATTCCAGTGTCAGCGATATCAGCTGTCAATGGAG